ATGATAGTCAGGAGGCGAGGCCTCCTTTTATACGGTGTGATGCGCGCGCATTCAGGTAGGCCCGCCCAAGGCCGGCTACGTCTATAGAAGTCTCAGTGGGAGAATGCTCGCGGGTAAGATAGTACCCATAGAGTCCAGTAGAGGGCGGAGCCTGTGAGAGATAAACTCCAAATGTTTTAGTCTAGTTTTAGTCGACGAAAACTCAAAACGTTTTAGTCGACGAAAACTCAAAACGTTTTAGTCGACGAAAACTCAAAACGTTTTAGTCGACGAAAACTCAAAACGTTTTAGTCGAAAAAAAACGTTTTAGTCAACTTTTAGTCGATGAAAAATTACATTTTAATCAACTTTTAGTCCAAATGTTTTCTCTCTTTAAACTCATTCAGTTAGGCAAATACAGGTTTCTGACATTGGAATCAAGGTGACAGCATCAAGTGTTGAAATTCGTAAAGCAACATTTCACTCTCTTAACACTTTACTTGTGTAATATCTAGGGATGGGTATCGTTAAGGTTTTCTACGGTACTACTAGTCTTATCGATACTGCTTATCGATCCGGTACTTTAACGGTATTCTTGTATTTACTTTTTGTTATTTTTTAAAGGGAAAAACTAACAAATTGTTAACCGAATTAATTGCTTTATTTAAATGTGAAATAAATGAAATAATATAATTATGTTAAAAATATTGTACTGTACTTGAGTAAAATGTTGAGGTACTTTACTGGAGTATTTAAATGTTTTGCTACTGTGTACTTCTACTCCACTACAGTTCATAGGTAAATGGTGTACTTCTACTCCACTACATGTATTTAGTACCTTTAGGTACTTCACAGATCTGGATGAATGATGTGAAATCTAATCAAGTGTTAAATCAGACTTTAGTTCCACCTGGAGTAAATCCACAAGCTACCCTGCAGTATACAAAGTCATTCAAACTAGCTGCACCCTTTACCAGCTTTGAGAACACTTTCATGATCAATCATTAGAAAACATATCATATATATTATTCTGAAGTGGACCACCTCTGCACAACGACTACTTTTACTGTCGCTTCTTTAACTATATTTTGATGATCATACTTTTACTTGAGAACTCTTCCTACACTATGGTATTGTTTTACTTAACTACAAGATCTGAGTACTTCTCCCACCTCTGCGCACCTGATGTGATAACGTTACTCGTAATTGGGGCAACAGAGCTACGAGTTAAGGAAGTTGAAAATTCTGCATTTCTCCGACTGAATATGACGCCTTTTGGCCGGCTTTTTGGACAGACTGCTCGTGTCAACGCGCTAACTCTCTGAATGCTCCGTCCCCGGCAGATCTCTGTGTGCCGCTGCAGCATGTCTGTTAGGCACACAGAGAGACACAGGGAGATCCTTCTTCTGGAGTGCAGAGAGCAGAAAAAATGATATTGCAAGTTAGAAACGTAAGATGCATTTTGACAGACAAGACGGACACTTGAGGGAAATAACCTGCTTTTTGAATGTCCGATAGTCCACCATTAACACCTTAGTCTCGTCAACGAAAATAAAATATACATTTCGTCATAGTTTTTATTATCAATAATCTATTTTTAGCTCGTCATCGTCTCGCATTTTAAAAGGTTGTTCGCCTGCGTCTGTCTGCCAGACTTGTCAAAGCATTAATTCATGGTTTTTACTAACCGGGTATCAGTATGTTGTTACTTCGGCATCATTTTGAAACGTGTATTACAATTAAATCACGGTCAAATATGTTAATTTTGTGTTGTAGTTGTAGCCCCCTTGCCAGCGATTCTCTCTCTAGTTTAGCATACTCAGCCCGGTTGTTGGCCCGGAAACAACCTGGATTTTGGAGTGCCAGAAAACTGTGAAACAGTACCCGTTAGCCGGAACTACCCCTAGTGAAAACCCAAAAATGGGCCGGTTTGGCACGGCACGCTTAAACCGTGCGCCAGGCTCCTCCAACAATGCAACATATGATACATAAAACATAACATTACAAGACATCAAATAATGCAAAAAAAAAAGTGAAATAGACAAAAAGTTGCAAGTAAGTTGCAGGAATAGGTAAGAATATAAACCTTTACAATAAGACACAAATCTGAAATTAATAATAAATACATAGGATAGATACTACTGTACTATATTCTGATATTTTAAATTAAAAAGAATAAAAGAATGAAAAGAGAAAATATATTACGGTTATGATTTATTATGAGCAGCGCTGATCTCACGGAGCCCCCTATACACTAAAACAGAGCTAAAGAGGGGGAGTGCTGGACCTTATTCCAACAGGGTGGGTGCTGATGTAGCTGTGTTTGTGTTGCAGGTGGGATGGAGCTGGCAGAGCGCCTCCTGCAGGATCAGAAGATGTGTCAGAGTAAGCAGGCCAGTGCGGGGCTGATGGACATTAAGCTGCTGTTCAGCTACCTGCAGCTGTTCCAGGTCACGGACAAGGTGACTCACCTGATATATTTCCCAGCATTCACTTTGTTCACTGGAGTCAACAATGTGTTAAAGCTCCTTATCATACCTTCTACTTTCCTCTCTTCTCTGTTAACCTGCTACCTTTTCATTCCTCCATTCTGTGCAGGTGGTGTTTGACCTGAGTCTGGCCCGGGGTCTGGACTATTACACAGGGATCATTTACGAGGGGTTTCTGACTCAGGCGGGCATCGCTGCTGAAGCCCAGAATGGTTCTGGTGCAGAGGAGAGTGTGAGCGTGGGCAGCGTAGCGGGCGGGGGCCGGTACGACGGGCTGGTGGGGATGTTTGACCCCAAGGGCAGGAAGGTGCCATGTGTGGGGGTCAGCATCGGCATCGAGAGGATCTTCTCCATCATGGAGAAGAAGGCCGAGGTAATCCTGTGAGTGAGTGAGGGTGCGTTCACACCTGCCTTGTATAGTCCGGTTGAATCGAACCCTGGTGCGTTTAGCCGCTTGGTGCGGTTCATTTGGGTCGGTGTGAACACAATCCGAGACCTCTTAAGTGAACTAAACAACCGGACTCTGGTCCGCTAAAATACGTGGTCTCCGAGCGCTTGCTTGTGAACTCTGGAGCGGTTCATTGCTGGTGTGAACGCAGTCCGCACCAAAACATAGGAAGCGTAGTATTTACGTGTCACAAGAACGCGGATGTCTTCAAAATCTTTAGCGAAAGAATCCTTTAAGACATCCGCGGTTGTTTAGTTAAAGAGTGAAGACCAAAACCTGTCGTTGGTGAAACGCCCCTCCTTACTGCAGAACGTCTCTCATTATATGTGTTCTAATGTTTTTTAACGGACGCTGTCTGATTATATAATCATATGCGCGGGCCGCTAGTGTCTGTTGATCTCCAGATTAACAGCAGCATGAGAATAACCTGCCGATGCTCCATGGCGGAGGCTCCGGTAGAAATGGCCGGGATTTGCGTTTTTACGCCCTTAATGTCTGACCAATGGTTGAACAGCATTTCCGTGCACATGACTTGTGTTTAAAGTTTATAGTCCGTTTGAGTTTTTCCCGTGTGAACGCAAACTGAACCTTCTGAAAAATGAAACAATGTAACAAACTGTGGTCTGGTGTGCAACAGAGAGCGGACTATTAGGTGTGAATGCACCCTGAGACTCTAAGTCAGTGTTTCTCAAACTTTTTCATACCAAGGACCACTTAACCAATAAAAAAACACTCGCGGACCGCCTAACTTCACAAATATAAAAAAACGCATCGTTTTTCTAGAACAGATTACAAATCGCCTGAAAATGGTACAAACAAGTGGCAGCAAGTGTGATGAAGGTGTTTATCTGGGCTATATCATGCAATCAAAAGTGAAACTTAACCTCGCTCCATTGCGGAGATATTCTTGCGAGAGTGCGGAAAACTGAAATGTATTTATTTATTTCAAATGTGAAATGTTACCAATATACTCACGGACCACTAGGGGGCGCTCACGGACCACCAGTGGTCCGGGCCACACTTTGAGAAGCACTGCTGTGTGTGTGTGTGTGTGAGACTGTAAATGTGTGTGTGAGTCTGTAACAGTGTGTGAGAGACTGTAACTGTGTGTGTGAGAGACTGTAACAGTGTGTGTGAGAGACTGTAACAGTGTGTGTGAGAGACTGTAACAGTGTGTGTGTCTGTCAGTCAGACTGTAACAGTATGTTAATGATATGTGTTTGGCTGTCACACTATGTTGTTAATACGTGTGTTGCTGTCACACTAACTGTGTGTGTGTTTCAGGCCTCAGCACAGAGGGTCCGCACCACAGAGGTTCAAGTGATGGTGGTGTCTGCTCAGAAGAACCTGCTGGAGGAGAGACTCAAACTGCTCACTGAGCTCTGGAACGCTGGCATCAAGGTGTGTGTGTGTGTGTGTGTGTGTGTGTGTGTGTGTGTGTGTGTGTGTGTGTGTGTGTGTGTGTGTGTGTGTGTGTGTGTGTGTGTGTGTGTGTGTGTGTGTGTGTGTGTGTGTGTGTGTGTGTGTGTGTGTGTGTGTGTGTGTGTGTGTGTGTGTGTGTGTGTGTGTGTGTGTGTGTGTGTGTGTGTGTGTGTGTGTGTGTGTGTGTGTGTGTGTGTGTGTGTGTGTGTGTGTGTGTGTGTGTGTGTGTGTGTGTGTGTGTGTGTGTGTGCTAGTGTTATATTTGCAGATTCCACTTAATGTTGCTTCGTAAGTCTGGAGTCTGATTTCTGAAAAGTATTACTATCACCTTTGCACTAGACTGGACTTTTTGGTGTGGAAAGTTGACATTTGTCATGCTGTCATTTAAAAATATGATTTGTATTATTCGTCACACTGAATGCTGTGTATGTGTCCAGGCAGAGGTAATCTACAAGAAGAACCCCAAACTGCTGAGTCAGCTGCAGTACTGCGAGGACTCTGGGATCCCCCTGGTGGCCATCCTGGGAGAGCAGGAGCTGAAGGATGGGATGGTGAAGCTGCGCACCGTGGCAACCAGAGAGGAGGTACCTGAACACATCTTTATTAAAGAGGATACCAAATTATGGTTTTTTTATGTTTTTATTACCATTCAACCATTCACACACAATCATGCAGAGGCAGCCGTACAGGCTCAGTGTTGGCCATTGGGAGCAGTTTGGGGTTGAGGGCCAATATATTTGGATGTGTCTGTCTGTTTGTGTGTCAGGGCCGTAAGACTGAGATGCTGCAGGACTAACCTCACTGTCTGCTCTCTCCCCACAGGCTGATATATCCAGAGCAGATCTGATAACTGAGATCAAGAGGAGGACCTCTGAGGCCTAGACGTTAACCCCTGCCCCCCCCACGCCACCTTCAAACAGACTCCTTTGCAATGATGTCGACATGCCTTCAGTGTCAGCACTGTATAACAGGGAGCTGCTGTGAGGAACGCATCAGTTATTATTATCTACAAAGCTGCTACATTCATTTGTACAGCTCCATCTCTGCTCTGTTTAAGACGTGTACTTTCTCCCTGCACCATCTCAGCTTCTAACACTTTCATTTGTTCCATGGCTGTACTGTCAGGTGTCTGAAATAAACTCAATGCTCAGCAGCTTGTGTTCACTGACATTCTCAGTTTAAAACAATATGATGTTTCTCACTTACTGTACTTAGGTGGCATGTAGCCTGTTTTGGTTTATTACTTTATCAGACTGGGTTTACCAGCATCTACGAGGGTGCTGACAACGGGAAATCATGTTGGATGTTTTTTAATAATGAAGAGCACATTTCTTCAGATCAACATTTACTACACACAATGTAACTAACATGTGATAGAAATCAAGCAAGTTCTTCAATAGGATTTAAAATGCTATCTTATTCCACTAGAGACCTGAAAGATAGAAATCCTTTTAGAAAAAGGAACACACAATGAGTTTCTTTCCTGCTAGTAAACTGAATATCATTGGAGTTTGACATGAAAATATCACCTTGAACTGATAAAGAACAGGCATCTATCATTTTCTTGACTAATATTGATACCATTTCATTTGGTGCAGTCTATTTGACTCCTATAATAAAGCCTACTATTGTAATAAATAGCGTCAGCTTGTTGTCAAAAATAGTCAAAGCAGCCTTCTCAAGATTAAAACACTACAGCCACATTTAGGGAAATCATGCATTACATAAATAGTTCTCTTAGCCAATCAATCAAAACCTCGTCTTTACATCTTGTTCCTATGTGGATGACTATTTGTAAATTATTTTGGAACTATCAGTGAAACAAGTCTTTCAGACACATCCTAACAGCTGGATCAGGATCATTTTCAGATTCTTTAGCTATAACGGCAGATGTTGTGAATCTGGTGCAATAATCCTGTATCAAAACAATGCTATTTATATTATATATACACTTGGGGTGGCTACAAACCGAGAGGCTAATCCTGACGCAGAGTGGAGAAGAGGACACCATCTTCCTCCATTCACCTGCAGGGAAGCACTGACAGTCATCTTCTTTGACCTCTCCAGTGCTTTGAACAGATCTTTTTCTGTGGGTGCAACAAGCTTCACATCAGGGTGACTGGAGCGCTGCAGATCTGAGAGGAAGAGGCTGGGCTTCATCCAGGGAGGACGTGGAGACATGGGGGGTGTTTCTCAATGTCGAGGACGCTTCCTTGGTAGGACATGTCTTCCGAGTCAATTTTCCGCCACAGATTTTGGGAAATTGGGCCATGCACCAAGCATTGTGGGGATTTTAAGACCGGAGGATACACATGTGCAGCCTCGAAATTTCCCGCAACGAAGGACTCAGTCCTCGGTAGAATTCCAAGGAACCTGGACATTGGAACAGTCCTTCGGCGGGACTCGATGACGTAGCATCCTTGAAATGGTGGCAATTTGTGACTGCAAAAGTTCCTGTGGCGGCTGTCCGACCGCAAGAGTGTCCTGTCTAACCGTACCTGTGTCTGCAATCCAACTTCATCAGTGAGGTAAAAGGTGTCATCTGCCATTCTCAAGTTCATGATTGAAATGTTTTTTTTATTTTTTGCTGGTGATTTTGTTTTGGTGGGCAAATGTGGAGGTGTAAGGAGTGTAGTGAATCTCTTTCTGGTAGATATGAGTTACTAAAGCATTTTAGACTACAGCACCGGCATAGGCAACGCTATCCATGCCCACACACAAACTGCCCATGTACATTTAAGACATGGAATGCTTTCAATCAATCAATGTTTATTTATATAGCCCAATATCACAAATGTTACATGTGTCTCAGTTTGTACAAAATATCAGTATGACAATACGACACACGCTTTGCACATTCATTTAAATAGAGCCCATCCCAAACAAAACTCTCAGGAGCAGCTGGAGTTGTCAATATTCAGTTGTCATTTGTGCACTTCGAGCGATCTTCCTACGGACAGGGATTATTTTGTACACATTGGAACTCATTTTAAGAGTCATGAGACTGTTCCTTGTATGTTTGTGGGTTGCAGTTTTGAAACAAATATATACGCAACATTTCACTCTCACAAAAACAGGAAACACAAACCGCATACGTTGAAAGATTTCAAGCCAGATGTAGTTAGAACCACATAGTTGCACAAGAATCCTCTGATAATCCTGTGGAATACGCACATAATCAAGATGACTCTGCAGTTGAAGTACACAGTGCTTATTCAAGTAGTGATGTGGATGTAACTCAGAACTCTTCCAAAGTAATTGAGAAAAACTTTGCTGCATCGTTGCTCAAATTAGAGCATTTTGCACATGTGCCGGGTAAAAAAATGGATGAGTTTTTGGAAGAACTGCACTACTTAAGTTCAGCAACATTGCCCCTCTCCATTAACATTCTTGAAGGTGTATTTCAGAAACATAGTCCCACAACTGATAAGTCTGTGATAACAGAAGTAGCCACTGCTCTCTGCGCATCAAACCCTTTGCTCAAAGCCATAGGGAAGGGTGGTCCCCTAAGGACATCTTATCTCCGCAATCAGTATTACAAAGACAGCTTTAATGTTGTAGAACCCATAGAGTACATACTTGATGCCAAGGAAAAAAGGAGTTTTCAGTATGTGCCTGTACTCAAGTCTTTGCAGCAGCTCTTTCTGTTAGGATCTGTCTGTGTTGGTGTTTTTCTTGTCTGTGTTGGGTTTCCTGTTTTATTTTGTAAAGTGTTCACCCCCGTTTCCTGCCTGTTTGCTTTCTGTCTGTTTCCCTCCCCGATTACCCGATTGTGTTCACCTGGTACCTCTGTGTTTTCTCCTCCCTCCTCACCTGTCTCGTGTTTATGTGATTAGTCCTGGGTGTATTTAAGTTCTGGGTTTTCTGTCTCTCTTTGTCGGGTTGTCTTGTGTTATGACCAGTTCATCGGTGAGTGTTCCGTGCTGTCTTTGTGTAGCCTATATCTAGCCTTGAAATAAAGGAATTATTGTTACTCTAATCTGCATTTGGGTCCTGCTTCCTGCACACCGTAACAGCCACCGTAACATTACAACCCGACCATAATATGGGCCCAGCAGATCCTTTTGAGCAGGAGCTATTGGAGTTTTCCTTTGCTTTGGATGACTGCTCGTATCGATGGTTGGGAGCGTCCAGGGTTCAGCAGCGAGAGGCTGTTCTGGCAGAGGCACGCCGGATTACTATGGAGAAGCCAGGCTTGGTTAAATTCTTATCGGGCAGGATTTTGGATTTTCTCACGGTGTGTTATCCCTTGCCTGACAGCCCCAGGCCTCCCAACTCCCGTTTTGATACCACATGCATCGGTGTGGTCCGTCTGGCGTCAGCCCCTGCTTCTCACCCAGTGTTTGCTACAGTCCAGGAGCCATTCGCTGGTACTCGTCTGGCCTTTGGAGGTCCACGGAGCCTCCAAACGGCTCCTAAAGGAAGGAGTCGCAAGGCCAGGTTGGCAGCACGAGCCCAAAGGGCCATGGTTCCAGACCCAGTTCTGGCCCCAGCAGCCATGGTCCTTGCTCCAGAACCGGTCCCGGCAGCCATGGATTCGGCTTCAGAACCGGACCTTACAGCCAAGATTCTGGCTTCAATTCCGGCTCCAGAGCCGGGCCCATTCAGCCATGTTTCCGGCTCCTGAACCGGACCTTACAGCCATGATTCTGGCTTCAGTACCGGCCCCAGTAGCCATGGTCCCGACTCCAGTTTCGGCTCCAGGACTGGCGTACCGGCCAACGCCAGCTCCCCGAGTCTTGTCGGCGTACCGGCCGACTCCAGCACCTCGTCTCCTGCTGGCTCTCCAGCCGACGCCAGCTCCCCGTGTCCTGTCGGCGTACCGACCGACACAAGTTCCTTCTCAAGACCCTTCTCAAGTCCCCTCTCAAGTCCCCTCTCGACTTCCCTCTCAAATTCCTTTTCAAGTCCCCTCTCAAGTATCCTCTCCAGTTCCCTCTCGAGCTACTTCTCGAGTCACCTCTCAAGTCACCCTTCAAGTCTCCTCTCGAGTTCCCTCTCAGGTCCCCTCTCGATTCTCTTCTCAAGTTCCCTCTCAAGTCCCCTCTCAAGTCCCCTCTCAGGTCCCATCTCGAGTCTCTTCTCAAGTCCCCTCTCAGGTCCCATCTCGAGTCCTCTCTCGAGTCCCCTCTCAAGTTCCCTCTCAAGTCCCCTCTCAAGTCCCCTCTCAGGTCCCATCTCGAGTCTCTTCTCAAGTCCCCTCTCAGGTCCCATCTCGAGTCCTCTCTCGAGTTCCCTCTCAAGTCTCCTCTCGAGTTCCCTCTCAGGTCCCATCTCGAGTCTCTTCTCGAGTTCCCTCTCAAGTCATCTCTCGAGTCCCCTTTCGAATCCCCTCTCAAGTCTCCTCTCGAGTTCCCTCTCAAGTCATCTCTCGAGTCCCCGCTCGAGTCCCCGCTCGAGTTACCTCTCAAGTCACCTCTCGAGTCTCCTCTCGAGATTCCTCTCAAGTCACCTCTCCAGTCAACTCTCAAGTTTCCTCTCGAGTCCCATCTCAAGTCACCTCTCGAGTCACCTCTCAAGTCACCTCTCGAGTCACCTCTCGAGTCACCTCTCGAGTCACCTCTCGAGTTCCCTCTCGAGTTCCCTCTCGAGTTCCCTCTCGAGTCCCCTCTCCAGTTTCTTCTCAAGTCCCCTCTCCAGTTCCCTCCCGAGTCCCCTCACCAGTTTCCTCTCAAGTCCCCTCTCCAGTTTCCTCTCAAGTTCCTTCTCGAGTCCCCTCTCCAGTTTCCTCTCAAGTTCCTTCTCGAGTCCCCTCTCGAGTCACCTCTCAAGTCCCCTCTCGAGTCACCTCTCGAGTTCCATCTCTAGTCTCTTCTCGAGTCACCTCTCGAGTTCCATCTCTAGTCCCTCCTCTAGTCCCCTCTCCAGTCCCCTCTCGAGTTCCCTCCTCTACTCCCTCCTTTAGTCCCTCCTCTAGTCCCTCTTCGAGTCCCCTCTCGAGTCCCCTTCTCTAGTCCTTTCCCTAGTCCCTCCTCAGGTCACTTCTCTAGTCCCATCTCCAGTTCCCTCTCGAGTTCCCTCTCGAGTCCCCTCTCCAGTTCCCTCTCGAGTCCCCTCTCCAGTTCCCTCTCGAGTTCCCTCCTCTAGTCCCTCCTCTAGTCCCTCCTTTAGTCCCCTTTCTAGTCCCTCCTCTAGTCCTCTCTCTAGTCCCTCTTCGAGTCCCATCTCTAGTTCCCCTCTCGAGTTC